GTAGGTTGTGCCAATATTATCAGACCTAGACTTTATGGGAGGACATAGTGGTTGATTTCATAACTTCCCTTCCCCCTTTAGCAATCATTTCTTTCTGGAACATAGGCTGATCACTTAACAGTTCACTCCCTCTACTCACACACAGGTGACTTGTAAATCTTATGCACTTCTGCAATTGTGCACTACTGTTATTTTTTTTTATTTTTGGAAGAAACAACTTTAGGGGTAGCTAGGTGGCGCAGTGGATAGAGCCCCAGCCCTGAAGTCAGGAGTACCTGAGTTCAGATCCGGCCTCAGACCAAACACTTGATACACTTACTAGCTGTGTGACCCTGGGCAAGTCACTTAACCCCAATTGCCTTAAAAACAAAACAAAAAAAAACAACTTTAGAACTTGGACATCAAAATGAACAGTAATTGGATGGGAAGTTCTTAAATGAGACATTCTAAGTAGAGGATATCTGCATGAGTGCAAGAGAAGGGAGTTAGAAGGCTGTCATCGTGGTTAAACAGGAGTGAGACAATAGTTTCGTTACAGTTACAGGTTATAAAATTTAAAAAAGTCAATAGCATTTTCATATAGCAATTTTTAAAATCCAGGAGGAAAATCCCATTCAAAGTTAACAACAAAATTAATAAAATTAAGTGAATCCTCATGAAATGTTGAACTACATTTCATAGTTTATAATGTAAATATTTATTGTATAAATATTTATTAAATATCATCTCTGCCCCACTCTGAAGTTACAAAGAATAAAATGAAGAGGGCATTGCTCTCAAGATGTTTACATTCTCTCCCATAAGATAGCTTATTTTACATTACGTAATAAAATTTAGGTTATAATTGCAGTTATGCTCTATTATAAAAAGCAAAGGGAATCAAGTGTTTTTGGGGATGGCATATAATTTTTTCCAGTAGGATTATAAGTAATTCTATACCATTTTACTTCAACTGTGAATTTATTGCAAGATCATAAATAGGGATATTTATGTAAAAATATTTGAAGGTTATGTACATTTTCCCAAAGAGCCTCTTTTGAATCATTCTGCTTTGAAGCCCAACTGACAGTCAGAAACTGACAAAAATTTTGGCAGGGTTTGAGGGATGTATTGCTGATGGTAACAGTAGAAACTGGTGTTACGTGTAGAAGGATGATTGAATGGTATGATGACTAATGTTTACAGGTGGTCAGTACATTCACAAATGTTTTAGCATTATGACAGTTTTCACTTTACTAAATAACTTCTGATAGGAAGGGATTGTATAGAGAGCCAGCTAAGAGTCAAGAAGACCTTTCCAGTTCCTCTCCTTATTGACTTTGATCCTCAGAAAATCATTTGACCTCTCAGCACCCCAGGTGCCTCTCTTGAGATAATAAATTACAGTAGAGTTGCTGTTGTGCATCGGTGGTAAGAAAAGTTTGCTTAATTTGGAGTTCTGTACATCCTTAAAATCAGAGGTAGAAGCTAAAACAAAGCACAGTCTCAAAATCTCTTAAGGAAAGAAATTCAGATAATTAATACTCAAATAATGAGGATCCCCTGTGTATCTTGTTCCCACCCTTCTTTCCTTTTTCTTTCTTGTTTATTTTTATTTTGTGATTTTTTGAATAACAGATTGTTTCCTCCTATTTGTTTGCAAGCTTTTTTCATTGCATTTCTAGGTGAGTTAAGCTTAGAGTTCTTCTTTATTAGCCTGTGAATTCTGTTGATCTGTAGTCTTTCATATATTTCCAGTGCTTCTACATACTTTTGTTCAGGGTTTCTGAAGGCGTCACAAGTGGAAAAATTTTAAGAAACCCTGGTTTTGTTGAATGATTTCCAGAGACATGGTATTCAGACTTTCTGGTACTTGATTTTTTTTAGGGAAACCAATAATTTTCAGATTTTTGCTTTAGATGTAAACTTGAGCTCTTTTTGCGAAGTTTGTAGGGATTTGAAGGTTGTTCTTTTTTTGTCATTTCTTTATTTCACTTTGTTTTTTCTATCACTACTTTTGTTTTTGTTCTCTTCATATTTTCCTATACAAATCCACTAAGTTCATTGATATTCTGAAATCTTCTACATTGTTGATTTTCATTCCTCCTGAATTCTTCCTTAAGTAATGTTATTCCTAATCTTATATTGTTTCAGATCTCTTTGTCTTGCTAATGTGATTCTAAACAATTCTAGAGATTCTTGCCTTAAACGTAAAGATCATTCTCACTTCCGGAGTGTCATTATTGCAATCTTTTTTTTCCTACTTTCTTTATCCTGTTTATCTACAGTAATAGGGCCTTTTTGTGTTTGCCTGTTTCTTTTGTCTTAGTTTCAGATGTTTTCTTGTGAGAGTCCTCATTTACCCCTTTTATCTGGTTTTTCTTTTTCATTTGGCACATTTGATACTGTATTTAGGTAGTCTAGTTATTTATTCATAAGCACTCTCTTTTCTGTCTTGCCAGAAGTTCTGCTTCCTAAATGTCTCAGGTAATTTTAGGTCTTTTATATTCATTCCATGATTTGCAGGTATACTGAGCCTATAAGCTTTTGCCATAGTAGATAGTTTGTGATCATTAAATGTACTGTAGAATTCCCCAAATGCAATGCAACATAATTTCCTCCTCATTTCTGACTTACTTAATTCTCAGGGTTTCTTGTACTATGGACATTGAAATTTTTTTTGTATGAATGTTTAAGCCAATTTAATTCTCATTACTCTGAATTTCACTAAAGAGACTCTAGTGTTCTAGAACACTGTGATTTCTTCTGAGAAAAAAATAGTGTAGAGACTATGTCAGTAGAAAAATGTTTATTCATTTGGTCTTCATTTAAGACATTTTATATACCCCTTGGAAATACCTTTGTTGAGCTTAAATCTCCATATTTACCTTTGATGTTACTGATCCTTGTATGATTTGGATTAACACGTGAACAGTACCATGGCTGAGAAAGGCCATTTTAGCCATATATTTGGTTTGGTCTCTAATGAAAAGATTGGCACAATATAAATGAATTTCTGCAGCTATGCATCATTGTCCTCCTTGGGTCTTACATGTATGCTGTTCTAGGTTTATGAAGGAATATATATAACTGTACTGATTTGGGCCGTTACACAAATGTTACCTTATTTCATTTGGCCCTCACTACATAATTGTAATCTTTTTCCTGTAGGATAGTATTTTAGTGGAGGAAGTTATTGGTGGTAGGATTTTTTTTTTCTGTCTATAGCACTGTGGTTTTTACTTCCTTGAATATAGTTCTCTATAATGTAGGTTCCCAAAGTGGGCAGTACTGCCCCCTGGGAGGCACTGGAACAAGCCAGGGGGAGGGTAGTAATCTTGGGTGCAGTTGAGGGGCATTAAATAAAAATAAGGGGGCAGTGGAAGCATAAGGAAACAGGAGAAGAGAAGACAGTTTTGAAAAACTGTTCATACATGTTTCATCTGTTGTGTTAACAGAGTTAAAGTCGTAGTGATTACATTATTTTCCAAATAAACACACACAAAAGTGCAAGTTATAACCAATCAGTGGTCAAGTCTGACGACCGGTCTTAACAAGCAAGCGTTGGCAGGCAAGTATGTCACATGTTGTCGAGAAGTCCAGCATGCAACAGCAGGAATATGTGCATGTAATGACTTGTTTACAATGCAGTACTATCCAGTTACATGACCCAATATTGCATCATCAAAATTACAGTGCAGGAAAAAACCCTACAAATTTGCAATAAATTCTTAAAAACTGTTAAAGGGTTAAAGAAAGTAGCTTTCCAGAGGGGTGTTGAGTAATTTTATTTTAATAGGGGGCACTAAGCCAAATAAGTTTGAGAACCTCTCTTGAGTTTGATTTAAATGTTGGACATAGCAAATACTATTCCTGAATTTTATCACTAAATACATGGTTATAAATAATGATGAAAGCTCATCTTGTCTATTTTATAGCTGTTGTGTATTTTAATTATCTGTGAATTTAGGACGTGCACTTCAAGGTTGGACATTTTCATTATATGCAGTGGTTAGATAATTAGCCCTTGAAAAGTTCATTTCCATACATATAAAAAAGTTTTGCCTTTAAAAAAGTGTTGTCCACCAAACACAGGGGCTCCGAGGATGCTATATTTTCCAATTTGCAGGCTTTCAGGATGATTAAAAATATCATTTATGCATATTTTCACACAGATCACTCTCTACTAGTTGATGAGTTTGGGCAGAACACTGCCCTGAGGTATGCTGCCATTAGTTTCTGACATTAAATTAGCTTTAAGTTTGTTAGCTATTCCATTGGCTGGAGGCAATTTGGAACTCAATCCCTGCAAAGCATTCACAGAATTTACTATCCATTTCCCTGACATTTTGTCTGTAGTGAGAGGTCTGGGCACAGGTTTACTAATCCAAGGGTGTCTTAAGGCCTGAGCTGGTGTCAGGCGGGCATTATATGCTTTAAAATAGTTTGACTTTTGGTTACTTTGTAGTGTGCTTTTTGTCCCCATATAATTTGATGTCAGTTAACATCATCTAAAGTACCCATATGGTTGTAATCTTCAAGATTGCACTTTAGAAAACAAGAGATTATTATAAGTTTCTGGAATGAGGTTTGTAACGTTTTTGTAAATGAAGGTGAAAAAAATTGTGGAGGGTCTTTATGGTTGTGCTGTTCTAGAAATTCAAAAGCAACAAATAATTTTTGTGTCTAAGCATATCCTTAGATAATGACAGAGCATATGCTACATTTGTAATTTTATTTTGTTTTTCTAGTGAGGTAATTGGGGTTAAGTGACTTGCCCAGAGTCACACAGCTTATAAGTGTTATGTGTCTGAGGCTGGATTTGAACTCAGGTCCTCCTGACTCCATGACTGGTGCTCTATCCACTCTGCCACCTAGCTGCCCCCTCAATTGTTCTTTAAATAAAATTTTAAAAAATCTTAAAATATTATTTTCTTTTTAGTTATTGTGTTCTTTAGTAACTATAAAATGATTACTTTGATTTCTGAGTGTCTTGTATTTGTGTGTGTTTTTAAATTTAGAGCCAAGATTTCCTTTTGCACACCCCTCTTGGAAATAGTGGATCACAGCAAGAATCAGTAGGAGGAGGGAGAATTACTGTTGGGGCACAGACGGTACCCTCTGCAGATCTCAGTAATTCCACACCGTCAGATATAGCGTGTAATTGTGAGGCATGTAATGAACGAAGGTGAGAGACATTTGTCATTTTTCTTTGGTTGTTTATCACCTACAGAGTGGTTTCAGCTCAAAAAAAAGCTAAAATAAGCTCATGCATGATCCATCATTGGAAAATAAAATATCAGGTTGTTAGGTTCATAGGAAACCAACCATTTTCTGCCTCACCAAAATATCTGGTGGTGCCAATATTAAACATGTATTGGTGAACATAATAAATTGTGGATTTTGACGGCAATTTTTAAAATACTGTTGGCAAGTATTTATTTAGCTCTTACGATCTTCCTAATATTGAGTAATTAATTCAAGAAATATAAGACATAGTTTTTATAAAATATAGTTTTTCCCATGAAGAGTTTAAAAACTCAGCCCTTAATTGGTGCTGAAAATAATAAAAGTAGTGATCAGAGAATGATGAAGTCTTACAACAGGAGTGGGCCCCTGATAGAATTGTGCTTTATCCCATTCAAAATCTTTTACCATGCTTTTAGAAATTTCTTGGGATAGACGGTTTTATAACCTCTTAAAATAATTATTTTCATTTCCTTGTTCTTCGTTAACAAGTTCTTCCTAATGTCTAAGTAAAATCCTACTTGCTGACTTAAATTTCCTAATTTTATCCATCGTATCAGGAGAGAACTGTTCATCACTGGCCTTCTATTTTTAATAACTTTTCATGTATTCACATCAATTTGATTAAGCACTTGTTATGTATTAAATGCTTTCCCAAGTACTGTAGGTGTAAAGGCACAAATGTAGTGTTCTCTGTCCTTAACAATCTAATATGTAGACTCTTGATTTTCTTTTTTCCATAACCCAGAACTTTTTAAAGTTTCCTCTGTTGGGCCTCATGTGGCCTTATTGGGTCCAAGAGACAGAAAAAATTTTAATGAATTATATTTTCCCATTCCTGTCCTTCAGTATCATAATTTCTGGTAGTATGTTAGTCAATATGATATAATAAATGTTTCATGTGATTCTAATGTTTAACAGAGAAATTTCAGCAGAGACTGAACGAGAATCCCAGCAGCTTCAGAATTATTGGTCAGAAGTACGATATATGGTCCGATGTATATATCGTCAAGCTGGAACCCCTTTGGCAGATGACCAAGACCAATCTCTAGTTCCTGATAAAGAGGGCATGAAAGAGCTCGTGGATAGGTATGTATTCTTCCCCCCACCCTCCTTTTTTTTTTTGTCCCACAAAACAAGCTGTTGTCTTAATGGCTTCTATCATCCTTTCTTATACCTAAATAAACTAATTCATGTGGTATTCAGCCTAAGTACCTCTTATCTCCATTAGTACTCCATTCTTTTTTTTCCCCAATTTTTTTTAAATTTATTTTTAGTTCTCAACATTCACTTCCACAAACTTTTGAACATTTTCTCCCCCTCTTCTTCCCCCTTCTCCTAGACAGTGTGCAATCTGATATAGACTTTACATATACATTTATATTAAACATATTTGTACATTAGTCATGTTATAAAGAAGAATTAGAACCAATGGGAAGAACCATGAGAAAGAAGAAACAAAACAACAAAAAGGCATATAGTATGCTTTAATGTGTATTCAGACTCCATAGTTCTTTCTCTGGGTGTGGATAGCATTTTCCATCATGAGTCTTTTGGACTTACATTGCTGAGAAGAGACAAGTCTATGAAAGTTAATCATTTCACAGTGTGGCTGTTACTTTGTACAGTGTTCTCCTTGTTCTGCTCACTTCCCTCAGCATCAGTTCATATAAGTCTTTTCAGGTTTTTCTGAAGTCTGCCTGCTCATCATTTCATAAAGCACAGTAGTATTCCATTACATTCGTCTACCACAACTTGTTCAGAGCCATTCCCCAATTGATGGGTATCCTCTCAATTTCCAATTCTTGGCCACCACAAAAAGACCTGCCATAAATATTTTTGTACATGTACACTCCATTTTTGGTGGGCATTTATTATTAATAGTCCATTTTACATAGTGTCTTACACGTAATAAGTGTTCTGTACTTGTATCAGTCTTGGACATTTATTATTTTGAAAAAATTTCAGTGCTATGCCAAAAGTCTTAGACACAAACCCAGCTGAGGTATATATATATGCACAGTTTTGTTTTGTTTAAACCAAAAATATCCATATGTAGTCTTTTACACATATAAGTACATATATAGGTAGATTGAATTTTGAATAGATATGACTATTTTGAATTTGTATTTATTCTGAGTAAACACTTTCTTGGGAGACAAGCCGGAAGGTAAGGAGCTCTAACAGTTGAGTTAGTTATGATAAATGATTTGCAAAACTACGAGTTCTGTATAAATGTGAGCTGCTGTTATCATCTTTCACTTATTATCTTCTTAAAAACTACCATTTTTATTGTTTTGTTATGTCTAGAGTTAGGCAACTAGGAGAAAAAGAGGTAAAGATAGCTATCATGGCTTACCTCTCTGCCTCCAAAATTTTTTTCTCTTATAAACAATTATAGTTCCTTCATTCAGTCTTCATGTGGCACAAATTGTAATTTAGAAGAGGAAAAAAAGTTTTGTAGAGATAAAAGTGAAGCATAATAGCTGTCTTGAAATACTATTAGGTAAAAGAGGGATTTGGTATTTTCTGCTTTCCTTGATAGGACAGAACTAAGAGCAATTGTTAGAAGTGGCAAAGAGGGAAATTTAGACTAGAAGTAAGAAAAACTTGCCAAGTATTACAGCTGTTAAAAAGTGGAATGGGCTTCTTGGAAGTGAGTTTAGTTTCATTTCATCCTTTGATTAAAAGCCTGGATGACCACTTGTTAGAATGTTGTAGATAGAGGGAATTCTCATTTAGGTACTAAATGGTTGGACTAAATCTGTAAGTGGTTTTCTGATTAGTGCATGTTGTCTTCCTCTTTGGTCTAAGAACTTGATACATATCAGCTTTTGATCAGCACATGAAAAGCTAACAATTAGCAGTAACCTACAATAGGAACATTTTGTTCCATATGAGAAGGATCTTGTGAACTTCTATTTGAAGAAAATACATTTATGAAATTGCAACTATAGCTTCATACTTTTCTAATACAGAATCTCTTTTTGTGTTGGTGATAATAATGGTGATAATAATAAATTAGCAATATATAGTGCTTGAAAGTCTGCAAAGCATTTTACAAATATCTTGTTTTATCTCCACAACTCTGAGAGGTAGATATTATTATTATCATCCCCATTTTGCCTATAAGCCAAATGACTTGGTCAGGGTCAAAAACCTAGTGAGGGTCTGAGGCAGGATTTGAACTCCAGTCTTAACAAATCCAAGTTTGCTACTTTTATCCACTATGCAACCTAGCATGAAGAATAGTTTTTATTAAAATAGATAATAACATAGAGGCAGAAATAATATTAGGTAATAGAACCTTTAATAAATAATATTTCAGATTATCATTATTATTATTAGGAATAGAGGACATGCAAATAACTAAGCAAATATATGATACATGTCGAATAAAGGAAAGCTGAAGGCTAGGAAAGGCTTCCTGTGGAAGAAACCAGGAGTCTATCAACTTGGACTCTAGAATGAAGATAAACAGAAGAGTTTATATTTTATTCTGTAGGTGATTAGAGGGTTACTAGAGTTCACTGAATAGGGGAATAACTTGTTCTAGTCTGTGCTTAAGGAAAATCGCTTTGGCAGCTCTGTAGGGGTTAAATTTAAAGAGGAGAGGAACTTGACATACAGAGACCATTTATGAGGCAACAGGTGATGAGTACCTAAATTAAGGTTGTAGCTGTTTGAATAGTGATAGGGGAACAAATGAGAGGTATTGTAGAGGTAGACGACAAGATTGGATGACTAATTGCTTATGGGGCATAAGAGTGAATGAACAGTTGGGGACAATACTCATGTTATGAATGTAGGAAATTGGAAGGCTTGTAGTATCCTAAATAGAAGTAGGGGATTTGGGGAGGGGAGTAGGTTTTTGGGAGAAAATACTGAATTGTTTTGAACATGGTTCATTTAAAATTCCTATGAAAGATGCACTTTGAATTAGCCAGTGGAAATTTGGAGATGGGACCAGGTCTGGACATCAAGATCTGGGAGTTATCTGTGTAGAAATAATGCCATATAAGCTGAAAAAGTCACCAAAAGAGACAATATAGAGAGAAGAAAAGATAGCTAGGTGGCACAGTGGATAGAGCGCCAGACTTGAAGTCTAGACGACTCATCTTCCTAAGTTCAAATCTTACCTCAGATATTTACAAGCCATGTGATCCTGGGCAAGTCACTTAACTCTGTCAAAAGTCATCATTTCTGTCAGTTTGAAAACAGTGAGGGATAAAGGGATTAGAGACATATCTAATAAAGTTTAATACAAGAAAATGGAAACCACTTGGCATTACGCATAGATGCATACTTAAGTATTTGAATATACTTTCAGAAAATCTACTTCCTGGATTCTCTCCATTCTATCCAAACTATCTTTTCACTGAAATCACAATGTCTTCATGTTTTAGTTGGGAATTTCACAGTTTTTTGTGGCTTAAGCATTTGTCACCTAACAGCCAACTGTTTCATGTTGTGCCTTTCCACACTAACTAGGCCGGTCGGTTTTTGCTTATACTTGAAGCCTTTGTGGCTTTCTAAGAACTACCATGAACTTAAGGCCCAGATAGTATTATATTTGACACCCTAGAGTCACCACCTTGCAAATATGAGACTTTGGAGTGAGAATCAAGTAAAGGACATGTATGTTATTATTTTGCTACATGCTTGAGAACTGCTTCCTCCAACGCCTACACAGCCTTTTCATTTTTTATGTGCTGTGCTTTGGGGCTTTGTTAGAGTCAGCATTTCACCTTTCTCCTTTCAGTGTAGACATCCAGGGGGTTGTGGTTAGAAATGTTACATACACTGTCAGATGCAGGTGTTATGTCAGTAGATTTTGCTTAACTGTATTTCCTTTGTTATCAGAGAAGTTAATGAGCATTTATTGAGCATTTATTAAGCATTTATTGTGTACCAAGTGCTAAGCTAAGTATTGGGGATACAAAGGAAGTTTAAAAAAATAGTCTGTGACCATAAGGAAAATACATTCCAATGAGGGAGGTAACATGTAGGTACATACAAAAGGAGATTGCAGGTATTATGAAAAGAGAAGTGTTAGCATCTAGAAGGCCCCTTGTAGAAGGTGGTCTTTGAATGGAGAGTTGAAGGAAATTGGAGAAACTAAGGGCTGGAGATGAGAGAGAAAAGCAATCTAGGCATGGGAGTTTATGAAGGGGTAGGGAGACAGCCAACACTAAGGCAGGGAAATGTCAAATGAATGTAATGTTTGAGGAGCTGCCTGAAGGGAAGTAAAATGTAAAAAAGATTGGAGAAGGAGAAAGAGACAGGTTATGGAAAGATCAAGTCTTCTTCCATTCCCCCATCCCCCACTCCTAACCAAGAAAAGGATAACAGAAAAAGACAGGATATGGGCCACTTGAGTATGTCGTGGCAGGAATATTTGAGTATTATTTAGACTAGATGGCCTCTAAAGTATTTTCCAGCTCAGATTCTGTGATTCATCTTCTTCATCTTACACTCACTTTCCCTATGACTTTCTAGATCTATATGTTCCGCTCCCCTATGTGTTTTCTTTACTATTAGAATGTAAGCTCCATGAGGACAGGGGCTATCTTTGTTTTTCTCTTTTCATAGTACATAGTGCAGGGTACATAATTTGTGCTTTTTCAGTCATTTATTCTTTCTCTTTCATAATGAGGCATTTTCAAAGGGCCATTACATCATTACTTGACTATAAGTGATTGTATCAATTGCAAAGAGGCAAATACATACTTAATATAAAGCAAAATTTCTCATCTCTTAAACTTATTCAAAAGGGAATGGGCTAACTGAAAAGGTATTAGGTTCCTGTTTGCCTGAAGTGCTCATTTAATTAGGTTCTTAATAGTTAGAGTGCTAGGTCTATAGTCAGAAGACTTGAGTTTAAATCTGGCCTCAGACTTGCCTTGTGATCCTAGGCAAGTCACTTAACTTCTGTTTGTCTCAGTTTCCACATCTATGAAATGGGGATAATAATAGTGCCTACTTCTCAGGGTTGTTATGGCAATCAAATGAGATAATATTTGTAAAAGCACTTAGCGTAATGTCTAGCACATGTGCTCTGTAAATACTTATTCATTTCCCTTCCTCACTCTCTTTTCCCGCTGACCTTTTACAGGTTATGTTCTGCTTTGTCTAAATGTGTCCTAAGTATTCATGTGAAAAGTTGGTATATATGTAATCTCAGTTTGTTATTAACTATTTTGATGCTTAAATTCTGTACAACAGTCTGCTTTTAAAGTTGATAAGTGTCCTGCATGAGAATATGCTTTACTTTAAACATCTTATAAGTGTCAATAACCCTGGTAAGTTCCAGAATGTGGCAAACTTAGTATATTGAATTGGAAGTGGTGGACCTGCATTCAAGTGTGACATTTATTACCCCTGAACAGTTTCCTTATTTGTATAAAGGGAACAAGAATATCTTATTCTTCTGCCTTCCTCATGTATTTATTGGGAGGAAAACATTTTGTAAGAACTATATAAATGTGAGTTATTGTTGTAATAGCATTATTGTTGTTAAAAAATATAGAGAAATCTTAAAGGTATATATGATCATTAATTAAACATTTGGGAAAAGTGGTTGATTATACTATTTCAGTTGTTAGCTAAGTTTAATCACATTAATTAGTTAACCACAGTTTTTATATATATGTATTTTTAGGCTTTGTGAAAGAGATCCCTATCAGCTATACCAGCGATTGGAACAACAAGCAAGAGAATATGTGCTGGAAATGAAAGTTCGACTCCTCAGACATTTGTCTCTGGGATCTAAAGTTAAAGCAACATCAACAATACAAGGCCCACCACAGGCACATCAATTCATCTCACTTCTCCTTGAGGAATATAGTGCACTCTGTCAGGCAGCACGCACAATCAGCTCTTTCCTTGTCACTCTGGTAAGACTGAAAAAATTAATTAGTAATTAAAAAAACAACTGTGGACGTTTTTCATATTTTCTTGCAGCAGCATTTCCTTGCTACTTTCAAACTTGATAGGGAGAAAAAATCTCTATGTGTACATTCATGCACAGTACTTAAACCAGTTTCTTTCAAATAGGCAAGAGTGTATATTCATTTTGGCCAGTGTTTTGAGTCCCCATCCCCAATCCTGTTTTGTTTTTTCCTTTGAATTTTAGTATTACTTCTGAAATTTGCTTGATAGAAGAGATCAAGGGTGAGTGTTCAAGTAATTTTTGATAAAAGTGGATTTTTGGTTGCCAGATGGGTCTTAAGACACATAGTTAAAGCATGATGAGTGTATGAAATAGGACGAAATTTATTTGGGATTGGTCAACATATATTGGTTACCACTTAATTGGAAGACACAGATGTTTCTCTGACTAAAGGCTTATAAATTGAAAATCTAGTTTATTAAAATAGGAAAATGGAACACTTATTCTTCTCTCAGATTCAGTCAAAATAAGTATTTCTTTGTTTGAAATCCATATTTTAACCAGTGTGAAGTTTTAAAGGCAGTCCAGTCATACCTATGAATTTGCCAGGACAAAATAGGGAATAGACCTGGATATCTGCCCCATAGTGGTCCCCTTGTACCTATAGTGTTTACATCTCTAACTACTGTGTACTCAACCTTCCTTCTTGTTTTTCCGGTTTTTGACACCAACTACTTCTGTCCTAGGTTTCCCCAATCAAAAATTGACAAAATTGAGGACATCTAGGACCCTCACACACATACACACACACAGAGGTAATGCTTTGAAGATTGCCTCTAAAGTTTCATAACACTGGTTGGAAAAGTGTTCCAAGGCAGAGGTCACCAACCTCAAATCCTGACTTTGTTACTTACTACCTGCATGCTGTGTTATACAAGTCACTTAATGTCTCTGGGCATTAGTTTAATTAGTTTCCTCACCTATAAAATGAAGGGATTTGGACTACGTGATCTTTAAGGTCCTTCCAGATGTAAATATGTGCTCTGAGCACAATCTGACCAACTTTAAATTTTATATAAGACCTGAGAAGATCTTCAAAGTCCCTACCTTGACTTAACCATCTCTGTTCTATGATGGCAGTTAAGCTGTCATGGTGCAGAAAGCTGGACTGATTCCAGAGTTGGAGATGAATGGCTATATTATATTTAGCCTTATCCTCACCCTTTGTTTTTCCCTTGCCCCTATCTCAAACTACCACCCCTGATATTAACAAGGGAAGAGTGTCAATTAAGTAAGTGAATTTCAACTTATTTTGAAAGTATTTTATTTCAGAAACATGAACAAAAAATTTTGGCAGTTTTAACATAGAATTTATGTAGTTCTACTAAGTTAACATTTATTAGCTCTTTCTCCTCACAAGCAGGAGCAACTGAGTTTCACGAACACTTATTTTAAAGTATTTTATGTCAGATAACTAATAATTTCCTTGAGCTTCTTAAAATACTCTAAGAAGTTTTTGTAGTTTGTTGCCAAAGGGTTTAAAAAAAAACTTGTGCAATTGCCTAAAATATAATTATTTCATAAAAATGAGTAAATCTGTATTTAAGTATGTCTACATAGATGTCATACAATTGAGAGATTAAATAAATGTTATATAAAATTCTTAATCTTTATAGTCTTCCAGACTCTGTAGTACTGAAGTATGTTTATGATCACAGCCAGCAGTTAACCTGTAAAGGGTAGAGTTGGTGTTATGGTTTTATTTTGTCATTTCAGTTACCTTGATGTCACTTAACCTCCCCTCAAAATGTCCTGCCTGTCTGAGAAATCCATATTTATCAGAGGAGGCCTTAGAGACATAGAGCATGAAAGAGAAAAAAAGCATTTTTGTTTTTATTAGTTGAATTCAAACATTTTTCTCCCCAGAGAAATATAATTAATAAACCCTTTAATAGTAAAAACATTTTCATTACTCTTCTGATATAGATAAAATTACATTACTGTGGCAGTGATACTAGCTTATTCTATGCCCTGTAACAAGTCACTTACCCTCTCTGGTTCTCTCATCAAATTTAAGAAGAGATGGTTAGAAACCTCTAAGAATCATGATTATATCACATAATTAGAGGATAAATGACAGCAGTTTATAAATTATACATATGTGGCTAAATATTTCTTTGTCTAGTCATAGGTAGCAAAATATTTCTTGATCTCAGTAAACAGATCATAATAGTATTTGTGTTATTATAACATATGATCTGATGAAGCAGACACCTCTGCCTGTGTGTCCCACCCTCCAACTCAACATTTCTCAAACCAAATTTATTATTTTTACTCCAAAACCTGCTCATTTTCTTGACCTACCTTTTTGTTAGTGGTACCACTATTCACCTAGTCACGCATTTGAAACCTTAAAGTTATATTTGACTCCTGCCTTTCCACCCACCTCTCAAAGCAAATCACTTACTACTTTTATTTCAACCTCAGAAATATTTCATAGATCTTGTATTTATTTCCACCATTGCCACCTCAGTCTAGCTCCTTATTGCTAGATGCATAAACTCTTGCTATAACCTTCTTATAGGTATTTTCTTTTCCTCTCTTATCTCTCCCCAGTTTGTACCTCACAACACTGATATAATAATGTTTTTCGTGTCCTTTTTCTGTTCTAAGATCTTTTGTTGAGTCCTTCATTATTCATTTCCTAGAGAAGGTAAAACTCTTTTGTATGGCATCCCATTCCGTCACAATTTGGTACCACTCTTCCTTTCTATTCAGATATCTATATCCATTATTCTCCTTCCATGTACTCTATATTCAACCTACGTTGAACTGTTTGGCAGCGCTCAAACAAGCCCTACCCTCAACACTTATGGAGTTATTTTAAAATCCAACTCAAAGGCACTTCCTATTCCTTTTGGAACAGAATGACATGAATCAAGTAATGGGATTGAGAATTCTTAAGGTGCCTTTGGGAAATAGAAAATAGTTAAATTTATTGTATTACATTGTAAGAGGTAAGTCAGAGCAACAGAACTGAGTTGAAATTGAGCCTTTCACAGATCTTCCTTCTTGCCACCCAGTAGCAGTTTTCTTCATTTCCTTTCACTCTCTTGTACTTAAAACATCCTACATGCCTAAACTGTCAAACTGTTTACCTGAACCAGCAACATCCATATAGGCATTGAGAGAGATAGTGTTGGTTGGAGCTGGGGAAAATACTACACTAACATTTTGTCCATAATGAGTTCTAAGTACTTCTTTTCTTTTGCTAATTCACTAAATAGAGGTTGGACTTTTAACTTCCTGTACTCACACCAGGGAATTTATTTCTAGCTGTACAGTTGTTCAGAAATAAACCTCATGATATGGATAAATGGGTTGTTTTTTATTCCTTCTGAGGTTTAATTTCGTCTGTTAAAAGTTAACTTGAAAATGTCTAAGTTAGCTTCGGTATCCTCTGATGTCTTGATTGTTTTGAGCAAGTTTCCCTAGATGTCTTTTTGAGGTCCTTCTGACTCTCAATCTCTGATACTATGAACAGCCTACCTGAAAATTTAAGCTTTTTCTACATTAGAAAATGAAGAAATTAATACATAAGAAATTAATCTTTGTCTTCATTGGGGGTGTTTGTATCATGGACCCCTTTGGTATTCTGATGAATTCCTCAGAATTTTGTTTTAAATGAATAAAATAAAATACATAGGATTACAAGGGAAACTAATTACGTTGACATACAGTTATCAAAATTTTTTTTTAAACATTCTCAGGTGCCAGGTTAAGAACCTGTGCTCTATCTACCCCTGTACACCTTCCTAATTTCCCATTGCAGCATGAGCATCATTGCTAGTCTCTTTGGAAGTAATTTGTAAAATGAGAATAATAAAACTTATTCTGTATACTTCATAGGGTTGTCGTAAAGAAAGAATTTAAGAGGAATATTTTTGCCTGTTCTTCCTCTGTCTTCTTTTTGGTCCTCTTATCTAGTCTATCACCATATCATTTATCTACTAGTTCTTCCTCTGAAACATCTTTCTTTTTTTTTCCTTTTTGCTCCTTTTTTATAGCCGCCAACCTAGCCTGCTATCACCTTACCTCTCAGCAACCCTATTAGCTGGCCTCACTGCCTGCATGCTGCACTTCAGATTAGTCACAGACTTGGATAGAACCTCAGGGGCCATCTAGTCTGGTCCAGACTCGTACAGTACAGTAATGTCTACAGCATTCCTCTTTTATGTAGTAGCCCTTTTATTCAGTAGCCCTGCATTGAAAACAGCTATTGAGTCCTGCAACATCTCCAGATTCCATCAGTTCTGTCTCTGGGAATAGATAACATTTTTCATACATAATAAGTCTTTCAGAGTTTCATTGGATCGCTGTATTGCTGAGAATAGTTAAGTCATCCAAAGTTGATTGTCTTTCAGTGTTGTTATGGTATACAGTATTCTCCTGGTTCTACTCATTTCACTTTAGCACCTTCATCCTCAAGAAATCACCTCAAAGCCTGTCTCCTAGAGTGAAATACAATTAATTACCCTTTTACTCACAATTTATGCAAGCCCGTATCTCCCACAATTGTATCTGACAACATTAGTTTCACTTCTCCTTCCTTCTTTAAACTTATTTTCTGATAAAACGTTCCCATATAAAAAGTATTTGAAGCACACCTTTTTTGACAGAGGGTATGGGAGCCAAGATTTTCCTCTGACCATGTAGATCTGTATCTGCTTTACATCCTACTGTTACAGCTTAACCTGGGGTACTGAGAAGGTAGTAGCTTGCCCAGGACTACATAGCCAGTATTTGTCAGGGGTAGAACTCAACCCAGGCCTTGCCAAAGAGAAAATCTTTTATCCTTAGGCAGGAGGGAGCAACTGAAGATTTTAGAGCCATGAAGTGTTACGATTGGTTTCAAGCATTATATATGTCAGGTGGATTAGAAAGGTACCAGTCAGAGGCTATTTTATTAGCCCAGATACAGTATTGAAAACAACATTCTCCCTA